GTGTCTCTAGCTTTTAAACGGAAGCTACTGGTTAAAAGGGTTTCTCTTGGTTTATTAGACTGCCAGTGGTGATGATGGAGATGGTGATGAGGATGTTGTTGATAAATGGTGACGATGAAGATGATGATAATTCTGCGGAATAAATTAATGATGATGACGATAATTTGGAAAAGATGGTGATGATGATGATGATGATGATGATGATAATTATACGGAATAAATTTGATTATGATGATGATGATTTGGCAGTGATGGTGGTGATGATGATACTCAATGAACTAATTATGATGATGATTACTGATGAAATTTATAACAATGCAATGAGAAAACCAAGATTAAGCGAATGGGAGGTAGTAAGGTCAGTCTGAAATTGCAAAAATGTCCCTATCTTGCCTTTTGTAAAGGTACTTTTAGTTTCAGTCTTTCTTGAGGCTTTATTAAGCGGCTGTCGTCGGAACTGCTTCATGGGTTTGTTTTGTAGGGATAGGCCGGGATTTTGAGGGAGGTTTTAGGAAAGAATTTCAACGCCAAGACTATTAAAGAAGGTTTCACTGTCAAACACCTTGACTTTAGGTAACAAGGCCTGGGTCAAAAAAGCTGTACTGTACTCCCTTCGAAGATGATAATACTAATAATTGACAACTACTGTCAACGAACTGAACACACAATAACAACTGCAAGTAAAAAATTGCTACTCGCTATATTAAAAGAGGCGGTTACAGTATTGCAATCCCAGTCACAGTAGTCTTGCTATCTATATACAAAGGGTTGTTATAGAGAGACGGGCCATTATCCTCCTTTGGGGGTCACGTGTGTATAAAGATTATGCCAGTGTAGCTTTATGACTGCATTAGGCTGAAAGTACTATAAGGAAAAAAATCTTTGGCCCGGTAAACCTTTTTTTGTCAGTGAGTTTAAAACTATAAGGGCTTTTGATCCGTACTTTCCTTTATGCTTCTGCTATTATTTGCCCTCCTGATTGGGCCAATGGAAAAGATACAGAAAAAGTCCAAATATGGAAAACGTTCACAAACTGATTCATAATATCTTTTTGTAAAATTTTACGAAATAAATGAGCAACATGCGAGAGTTCTTCAAAGCGGTTTCATTTGAATGGTAACACCATAGGTTTGAGCGAAAATCATTCCGCTATAACCGATTAGTTCTGAGAGTGGAAAGGCTAAGATCTGAGAACTATCTAGTGGAAAATTATTTTCTCTTGGGAATATATTAAAACATTTGGAAATTTATGGGTTTTTTAATATTTTACTATTGTGTATGAAAAGCTAAGAATGAGGATGCCATTCCAAGGCGTGATAAAGGCAGCCGGTTTGTAATAACGAAAACTATAAATAATTTGGATCAATTTAGGTTCTGGGAAACTGCCCACCTACCCCTCCCCTAAGCCAACATTATCACGTACTTCTCACGTAGGGCAAAATGTTGGCTTAAGGAAGGGGTAGGTAGGCAGTTTCCCTAATTTCGACCCTGATCGCCATAGAGGCTCCAGAAGCTCCGTGGTTTAGAGCGTCCGAACTAGAACTCGGAGGGTCGTGAGCTCGATTTTCACCTGGAGCTCGGACGTTTTTCTGAGCTTTCTGGTCTTAGAATTCTTCTTCTTCCAGAAAATAATTACTTAGCGAGTTTAATCCATTAGAAAAGTAAGAACATTGGCTTTACAGGAGCTGGGCTTGGGATTGGTGACTTGCTTCGGGCAGCAACTTTTTCAAGCCTCCTCCCCACTGTGATCGATTTTTTGGCTCCTTTTTTGGTGTAAATACAAGAGCATTAAGTTCATGCAAGAGGTTTTCTCGCTCCAAGCCTGTTTATAGGGCACTCTTATTCCAACAACCCCCTACCCCTGCCCTCGATAGTTGAAAGATTGTAAACTTAATTGTTCTTTTGTCCGTTTATCCACTCCTTCAAAAATTGAATTTCTTGTCTTTAAAAGCTTTGTCTTTCGCTGCTTTAGTTGCCTTAATATAAATATTTATTCCTAGTTGTTTCACTCTTAAAATTCCAGACAAACCATGCAATATGCTGGTGTCTTATTCTTTCGTTCAGGTAGCCAGAGAACTAGACGAAAAGCTCGTTTAACAAGGGAATACCCGAAGTTTATATTTTCCATACTGTATGCTATTTTTGTTGTTTGTTTGTTTGTTTGTTTTCTTTTTACGAGAAACATTACTGTGATCAATGCGAAATCACGCTTGTTGTAGTTTTCATGGTCTTTTAATTTTTTCCATTCATGAAGTCAAAATTCTCACCATAAATAATTTTTGTCTAACTTTATTGTCGTCCTGGGAATCTGCAGCTGTGCATGGCTTTTGGCAAACATTGTAAGCGGTGTAAACACCTTTCATACTTTTACAACGTCCAGAAAAACGAAGTATTTACCGCTTTTGAAATATCTTGTGCTTAAAAATTCAGCGTATTCACCTGTTGCAATTTGGACTTCAAAGTGTAACAAAGATATTATTAACACTTGAGAAAATATCGCGGTTTGCCAACTTATGCTACCTTACAGGTATTTTCCGAGAGAATTTTATGCGAAGATTTTTTTTTTTTAGCAAAACGTCAGTGACTTATACAACAGTGAATACACGTATTCAATTAAAGTTTTGTGAGTATTTAATTGCAAAACATTTTATATTCTCTATATGGTTCATAGGTTAAGATATCTCATTAGCTGCTCATCGAAGCGCATATATCGTTTGAAATAAACGTAGTGTAAGTTACTAATGTGTCGCGAAGGAAATTGTTTCAAAATAGTTTGTACGACGAGGTCCTGCCTTTTAATCTTGCAAAAAGCGCGTAGTTCTTCAATGCTCGTACTAGCCAAGACATTCGTGATTAAACTTGCTTACTTAGCTAATTAGCCGGAAGCCAAACAGCATGATGTCCCGTTTCGTGAGTTGATATGTAGGATGAGCGACGTCAATATCCGGTTGGCATATAGACATTTCCGCTCCTGAAATGTTTGCAAAATATGGTAGTGTACCTGAAAGTATTTGGCTTATTGCAACACGAGATTAAGTTGAAAATGACAACAAAGCACTTTCAATGACTACAACACGGGGTGTTGTTTTCACGTTAAGTTACGATGCTTACAATTTTCCACTGATAATAATTGAATTTAAAGACTTTTTTCATTAATTAAGGAATAGTACGTGTTGTTAAAGCAAGCTTTATAAATACATGCTTAATGATTTTTTAAGGCTTTCTTCCGATTGGAAAAATATCAGTGTTTCCACTTTTAGAAAACTTTCTGACTCTCTTTACCTTTATCTTACCAGTATATTTCTGTAAACTGGTTATGTGAAATTTCTTTAATCATGCAATGATTCTAAAGTATCCGTTTTTTAAAAATTTTGAAACAAATTGCGGAGGCGGTAAGTTATTTTTTTCAGTAAGAAAGAAAATAGAAAAAAATGAAATAAAATAAAAATAACCCGGTGAACAAAAGTCACGCTTAAGTGAAGTATAAATAGTTCAATGAAAATAAATGCAACAGGGACACTTAAGGCAGGTTTTAGGAAATTTCGTTTTTTAAAATGCCCTTTTGTAATCACGTTTCGTAATCACTTGTCAAAAACTGTCGTCCTTCGGTCAATTTAATTTACTTTTTGTGCCCTGCTCTTCCACCGGCGAAAACTGTGATAAAGGTATTTCTGCAGTGTTTTAAGTAGCTCATTCGTTACAGAACAGCTGCCAGGAATTTAACTAGCGGAATATGAACCTAAATAACTTCAGTTGTTGATAATTTATCATAGCTTCTTAGCCATCTGCTTCTAACAATGTTCGCAGCTGCCAAGCTTCCGATTTGCTTACCTCGGGGCAGGTGGAAGAACTGAATAATAAATCCACCAGAAATAAACTGTTCCCGGCTTAAATTCCAGAAAAAGCTGATAGTTTAGTCTCTGCTGTGATATTTCAAACCTTTTTGTTTATCAACACTATACAAAAAGGGTTATTCATGGTGTAACTGGGATATCACTGGATAGGCCGGTTTTAAACTTTAAAAGACGCCAAACAACGCAAAATATGAAACAATAGCTCCTGAATGGTCATTTTGTCAGTTTCCTTGCCCCTGTCAGCGTTTGTCCGAAACGATACTTGAATGTATAGTTATATTTTCAAAACTTTTCACGCTATTTTAAATCTTTGATCGTGTTTCCGCGAGGTTGTTTTGGCTCTACGGAAACCGGCACTTGTTCACCGAGATATGATGTCGGCAGCAGTTGAACGAAATTCTTTCTCAAATTCCGGCACTGCAAGCTAATTCAAATTTGGTTGCCTTAGAGGGAGTCATTGTACTTAAAATGTCTTCTCCAAAGAAGATTATTCTAGCAACAAGTGCTATGAAACAAAGGGAACCTCACGCAAATTTAACAATTTCTATGGTTGCCAGATGTCCGTTCGCACAGGTGTGGTTTACAATGGAACACTAGTCGCCTGTCAAAGCTTAGATTAAATCTTCATTGTTCTAGCTGATGACCATTGTGTTTAAGGCAGTGAGTAAAACGTGGAGTTACCGAGACCCTTGAAGGGGCGGCACATCCCATAATGCAGTGCCCTGTCACTCTAATCACAGCTGGGCATCAGCAAACAACAGGCTCTGCTAAAATAACACAGTGTTTATGAATATTTATATTTGCGCAGAGCTGAACTTTTGCGTTTGTTTTCAAATTAAGTGTGAGACAACACTCCTCTGTGAAAGAAATGCTAAGGCCGTTTGCAGTCTCCTTCTCCACGTTTCTGACCTCCGCAGTCGCCGCCACATATGCTCACTTTACAACACGCCGTTCCCGCGCGCTGGTAATTTGTTCGAAACGGAATTTCCTCATAGGCTAGCGCGTGGGTCTAAAGTGCGTGGGAGTAGTTTAGTACCCAAGCCGCCGCTCATTGTTTAAATTTTCAATGAATGGATTTGAATTAGCGTGAAGAGTAAAACTTTTCGCATTTGGTCGTTGAGCGTAGTACCGATCGCTTCGGAGTGTTTCACTTTTGGTGACATCACCAGAATTTATACTTCGGCAAAGCGGGCAGAGTCATCGACTGGTCGGTGCCAAGTTTATCTTGAAAAAGGTAAGAATGAATATTGTCCGCGTTCTTGATCACCGATGATTTTGACGGGAAATATAGTTTTTACTACACACGCCATCACGCGAAGTCATGATTCATGACTAGAGACTGATTAAAGTTTATACGTTACAGTGTGTGAAGGAAAATGGCCATATCCGTAAGCAGTCTTCTCATGGAGAGCTTCAGTAGCGACTTCGATCCACCACCTTCACTCTTCAAAGATTTGAGCGATGATTCAACAGACTTCAAGCCTAGGAGTAAGGAATCGACGGATGACCTTTGGAAAAATTTCTCATTTCCGTTAACGCCACCAATCTCACCGGCGAGCTCGCCCCCGTACGCCTCGACAGACGAAGTAAGAGAGCAGCCAGTCTGCCATGGTTTAGCCGATGAAGGGGTATCGATAGATGAAGAGTGCTCACTGTATTTCCAATCCGGCGACCTCAAGGATATATTGATTAAAGACTGTATGTGGAACGGTGCGGCGTTCGAGAAGGCAACGGACAGGAAACAGCGAATTCATACGCATACAAAACTGGAACGTGTACGTCTCCTCTGCCAAACACCACCACTGAGTGAGTGTGCGGCTAGAATTCTGAGCGTGGATCCATCAGAGATATTTCCCTTTCCTCTGAGCGCAAGCCCGGGAAGTGAACTGTGTGAAAACATCGACGATCAATCGGATTCCGGTAGGTATATAACCACTTAGATGAATAATAGATGTACTCGCTCTGGCTGATTGAATCTGTGTTTTGTGTTCGCCGATCTATGACCATTTCTGACACTGATTTGGCCCCTCTTCCAATTGATTGCTCTCATTTTTGTGTTCCCTCTTTTCCGGGGTCGTGCCACTTTCAAACAAACTCACGTCCCTTTTTTGCTTAATAATCAAGAGAAGAGACTTTAATAACTATTTTCTAACATTTTTTGTTTGTTTTCACAAACTTTACAGAAGAAGAGGAAGTCGAAATCGATGTTGTTTCTATAGAGAACTCTAAACGCGAGAAGGAAACAGAAGAATTGATGGAGGATGAAAATGAGAACAGTAATTGCGTTACTACTATTGCCGAAACAACCTCGAGTGAACCCTCTTTTAAAACTTCAACCATTGAAGAGCCTCAAGAACCTTGCGACGAGAAAAGTGATTTTGTGGGCAAGATCAGAACACGTCGACACAAGAAAGTCTTATCTAGCGACGAACTAAATTACAGAGAAGGAAAAAAAGTTGCTAAGAACTCTAGTAGTTCCGGGGAGAGCGACGAATCGGAAAACGACAGCGAGTTTACGCGCGCAACTCACAACGTCTTGGAGCGAAAACGAAGGAACGATTTGAAACTGAAGTTTCAGAAATTGCGGGACTGTGTGCCGGAATTAAAGGACAATGAAAGGGCTCCGAAAGTCTCAATTCTTCGAAAATCGTGGGAATATATAAGTCAAATCAAACAGGAAGAGATAAAACTTGTAGCAGAGTTGGAAAAACAAAAGAAAATTAACGCTGTGTTGTTGAGAAAGCTGCTGGCTTTGAATCAAGCAAACTAAAAGATAATTCAGAGACTTGTGTTTTCGCAGGACGTAATATATTTTACGCCGTTTTATTTTTCACCCAAAGGGGGGTTTATGGAAGCGACCCAGAGGAACGCTGTTTTAAGAAATTGTTATCTTGATTTTTCTTTCATTTATACTCTGTCGCGTCGTTGTTCAAAACGCAATAGACAATAAAATTAAAATTTTTCGCAGTGCAATATTAGTGACGCTACATTTTTCAGATAAATTGAGAACGCCCTTAAGCGTAGCTCTACTTGCATAGCGCATTTATACAGCCACACAGTTAGAGTTAATCTAGAAGATACTGATTGTAAATAGGGATATAATTGTGCCGTTTCATAGCTGTACGCCTTGAAACCGGCTTTGTGAACGCTTGACAAAAGCATTAGAATTTTCAAGTAGAATTACGAAACAATAGTTCGCACCATTTGTGGTAGAAAAAAACTTATTAATATCGAGAATAAAAATATTTTCGAAACTCAAAATTGTTTAATGAATTGTACGTTAAACACTGCCGCAAAACACTCGCGTTTGGCGAAAAAAAAACGATCGAATGCCGCGTTCCTTTGTTAGCGACTACTCTCCCATTCAAACGGCTGACACTGCTTGAATGAATGGACTACCCATTTGCATGTGTGTGTTGACTTTTGCTCTAGACTAAACTGCATAAATTACAAATCCATTAGCCCATTGCCTTTCTTAAGTCGCAATGAATTAAAACTGTCGAGAAGTACAAAATAATCAACTCAGAAGTGATTTGACTAACCGCAGCGTCTGTTTATACTCTCATATAATTTTATTCACGCGATCAATTTATCATAGTTTAACTTCTGAAGTCATCCTCCGAAAATGGTAGGCAAAAATTATCTTCCGATGACTGTGTATTTTAACATGTTACTAGCTGTACAGTTTACTCAACAAAGGAAGTAAAAAGTTTTTTAAAAACTTGTTTCGCAAAGTATGCGTCAAAAAGTATATGGTTACAAATCTCCGTTTCTCCTAGACCGTATCCTGTTCTCGAGTTAACAGTCACTGTTTGATTCGCTTGCCAAAAAGGAAAAGGAACCATTTCAAGGATATAGTAAGGTAATGGCGACACTTTAATGATCGCAAGACAGGTTGTGAGGTGTCTTCTGTCTAGAATTTTTATGAGCGAATGCTCCTTTGCCACGTCAGAAAAACCTCTACATGACGAGCTCGAGAAACCTCAGCAATGCTTGTACAAATTTCGGCAGAGTTGTATCCCTAATTCGGCTCTTACGCAAGAAAAACCAATAATAAGTAATACTAATACTAATAATAGTTACCCAGACTTTTAACATAATAAAAGTCTTTCGACACAATTTCACACCTCCGACAACACTGAATTCAATCGCGAAAATTGCCTAATATCTTAATGGATTGTACAAGATGAACGCGAATCTTTCTTTCTGTGTCGCTTCTCAATTCCTTCTTTAATTGCTTGGTAATTTTACGATCCAATTTAGTGTATGATTGGTGAGCTTTTTAATTTTTCCCGCTCGGGTAATTGCAGTTTTAACGTTTGTAACGTAGAATTCCCGCGATAACATAACTGCATTAGACTTTTGTAATCGAAGTTTTTTTTTCTTTGACAGACAATTGGATGCGCGCGCTAGCTCCACGAGCCATTTCTTCGTAGCGTTTCCGGTCATATTGGAAGAGTGTTGTAGTGTTTACCGTGCGAGTCAGTAAAGAGCAGGCCCGAATTGTGATGCAAATGCGTTTGAAAATGTTTGCAAGAGGGCAGGTGTTCCAGTGAATGGCGCAAAAATAGATCCTTTGTTTACGGCAGCTGTCGTTGGCTGAATTTCAGCGCTTATTACACAAATTACGTCTTATGCTTGAAGGATTATCTCAGTTTATTAGTTTAGTTTCCACTGCGGTTTCATAGTCAGCTACTTTTATGGTAGAGCCTGGTTTTTCACAATAACCGCCATTTAGGCGAATTTGATTTTATTTGTCTAGCTTACTAATGTAATAAATACCGCTTGTGATCGATACATCGATATACGACGTAATATCAGTGATTGCAGTGCGCAAAGAATCTGCTGCAAAGTTCAAAAGTAGTATAAAAACCAAACCTTATTTTTTCCATTAAATTTCCCCGAGAGCTGGAAGTTCGTACAAGGTTTATTTATCTTTTTATGTTTTCTTTTTAAGTCTAATTAATTTTTTGTACGCTTTTTGTAGTTAAAATTGCGCGCGGAAGTGATATTTTCCTGTACTCCAGATGTTGATACATTTAAGACCATCTATACATTTAAAAATTATGAATACTTAAGCACTCGGTTAAAATCCACAGGTTGCAAAATATCATCAACGGCAAGTCGAATTCCTTCAGTTCAGCGTCGTGCTATTTTTTTCTGATCCCTCAAAAAGATCTTTTTAGTGTCTTATATTTGTGGTTATTAATATTCGTTTTTAAGTAACCCCCATCAAATTACACTGCACTGAACTTTAAAAAGCAATTTGCAGCTACCCTGAAGCTTAAAATTGTTTTGTTTTTATTCGGCGACTATTTCTTTGAAGCGATGAATTATAACCTCTCAGATTTGTTTAAACTGAAGTTAAAAGGGCATGGCATCGGTTTTCATATTGTAGCAAACTTTTCCGTAGTTGTCTGAAAAATAAGTAGATAAGTATGAGTTTAAGTGATAGCTGCTCCTTATTTTAACGTGGAATTTAAATTTCGCAAAAGTTTTGTAGGATATTGCTATGCTTGAATTGTCAGTGGACAGCTGCTTTTCAAAAGTACGAGTTTAATGCCCTATTGAAGGTGTCAGCGCGCCGGGAAGATAATTTGCTAGCTTTGAATAAACATTTGTTCTTGACTATAGACTTTCGCAATAAAAAGCGCGCCTCCGATTTGCATTTGAAAGACTTCCTTATCTCTTGATTGAAGGCGTCTTTTGCGCGCGTGCCGGCCGTACGACGACGACCGCAAACAAAAGGGGTCCAAATCCACTTGAATACTTTGTCCCCGGGGGCCGAATGAAGCACAGTTATGGCATCGAGCTGGCGACTGCGATTGTTGTGGTTAATGTTTGGACCACTGCAACGTAAATGTTCTTTTCTTTTGGAGCCATTTCGCACACAAAAGAATTCGGTTTAACATTCTGAAGGAAAACGCTGTTTGTTGTCTTAATGCTAATGTGCTGGGCTCGATTGTTTTTTGCTCCGTTCTGTTTACGCAAGAGCCAAAGCGTCTATTTGTTTAAGGAACAAGGCTTAGGAAGCGCACACGAAAAAAAAAAATGTTTCTGTTGGTCCAAGTTACTTTGTACCTTCATTTTCCTCAATATTTCATTTTGGCGGGAAAATTAGTCTGCAATATTCGATACCTTTCTGCGCGTGCCGTAAACTCAATTCACTATAATCATTAGTGGCCTAATTAGCAGGGCACGCGCCGGTATTCCATTGACACACGAGCTGTACTTAACACCCCCTGAAAATTACCAAATTTTCGAAATTAATGAAGGCACAGTAAATATTGTTTCATCTGACTGCTGACAGTGGCGGGCCTCTATGACTTTTAAAAGAGTTTCTTTTATCACTTGCGCAAATAATGAGTACGACCATAAGACCATAGGCACGCAAAATGCAAAAGGGTGTTGACAACAGCCAAAAGTTATACCCTCGGAGAAAGGACCTGGAAGGTGACCTATGATCGTTAGACTAGTGATTCACTAGTTTTGATTCGGTTCTAAATTCACGGTCATTGCTTGGGTCAGGATGCTGGTTGCTCTCTTTGCGATTTGGGTGTGACGTGATGTATTTTTGGCAGTTTCAATTGTTTTCGCAACCTCTTGTGTTAATCCTATTCATATGCAAGCAGGCTAGCAACAGTCCCGCTCATGCATCCAGCCGGCAGTTCCGAGATAAGCCGATATTAGAGCTCAAGTGTTCGTTTGCGAGGCACGCGACTAATTAGACGGTTTGTACCACGCTTGTCAAGCAGAGGAAGAGACATTCGCTGTCGAATTGAGTCCAGAAGTTCAGCATTTGCAGAATGTTTGCTGCTACCAGTACATTGTGAGTATCGGTATGGGTTCTGGTGTTTTTTTGTCAATGGTTAAGAAGATTTACAATTTCTTTTGTGCTCAAAACCTTGTGACGCGACCTTCATGATTCCGCCTCAACTCTTCGTGACAAATCTTCGCACAAAGTTCCGATTTGTCGGGTAGTGTTAACCATTTGTTTCTTATGAAAAAACTCGTACATATTCAAAGCACTGCGAGAGTAAAATGCCCAAGACAAACCGAGTTTTTGTCTTTGAATTTAGTGCCATTTAATTTACACAAGGTGGCGGTAAGAATCAACAGGCACGAATTATTCCACAGCTCGAAAAATCGTTCAAGAAGTGCAGCTGTTAAATTACTGTTTGTATTGAATTATGGGTAATTGCTTCAATCTGAAAGCAGCTGTCAGAATTCCATAAGCTACCTGTTTCCTCGCTGATTTGTATATCAAAGAATTGCGTTCTTTCGGTCAACGATATGGATGAAATTCCTTCACATAAGATTCGATAGGTCTTAATCGCTTAGAGTGCAAATCAGAATTTTTTGCTATGGTTGCTCTTTGTTGCATATTTTCTGCTTCTTCAGAAAGTTACTGATTTGGGCTTTCAAGAGCGCTGGTGTTAAAAAATATCACTGCAAAATAAACTGGTTATTTTTTGGTGCCGCATATAATTGTTTTTTGAGAAACAAAGGAGAGAGCAGGTCGAAGTCACTACGGCTGGTCCTTCGCTTGTGAAAAACTCTTACAAAACATGAATATTCAATTTTGGCTAAATCATCCAAATCCTTTATTTCAGTGTGGGTGACTGAAAAACCTGTAAGCTACAAGTCTTGTTTGTCAAATTCTAGCATCCAAGTTCACAGATCAGTGCACAAGTGAAAATCAAAGCAATCGTCAGTGTAACGACTGCCGCCCAGAGACTTACTGACGTCAAATTCAAATCTCACTCGCGCGTACCACACGCCTGAGCTCGATCGGCTGACTTTATGCAAATTTGCCTTTTGTGATATGATCAGTCCATTCATTCAGTCAGTCATTCATTTGAAGCTTAACGTGAAAAGCGGCTGGTCTAGTTCAAAGTAGCTTTTTCCTCATCCAATCACTTGGTACGTTTTGACTAAGTAAACAGTCAAGCGTGCAGATTTCAAATCGGAAAAAGAAAATGTGTACTTTGAATGGTGGCAGTGCGCTTCCTAATAACTTGTACGTTTTTTCTAATAACAGACTGTGTTACGATATGTTTTTCGACGAGAGACTTCGCGGCCCGCAGCCAATGGAGTCATCTTCTGCGCCCCAAGAAGTCATCGTAGAAAGCCTCACCGAGGATCTTTACAATCCTACAATGCAAAACGATGACATTTGGAAAAAATTTGCCCTCCCCACGCCGCCGTACTCTCCAGAAAACTACCTGCCTCAAGGTAACTGTAAAGGAAACTTTATCATTCCAACCCACAAGAGAAACGGTCTTCAAGTTGTGCCTGAGCCGGAAGATCTCTCGTCTGATCTTCCCTTGGTACTTAGCGACGCTGAGATGGAGCGTTTGACTTGTTCCACAATTGAGGATGACTACATTTGGCCTTCTGGAGAGAGCGACTTTGATCGCGTCGAGTCGCAAAGGTTTCAAGGCAATCGGGTAGTGCTGTCGGCGGCGTGTGTGCACGAACCCAGCGCTGAAATGGCGGCAGAGCACCGAATGTTGCCCGAGTTGCCTCCTTTTGTCCCCACGGTTACAAACCAAGATCCTGCACTCGCCCAGCAACAAATAGAGAGATGGCACTCTCAATTCTCAGGTGAATATGGCCATTATTTCATTCAGATAGCGAAACTACTAACTTTGTACCCGGGAAGTCAAAGTTTTCTGATGGTTTCTTAAACTAAGCAATTTCACTTTCGAATTGCAAGACAACAGCCAACCCAAGGGCTAAATTTCGTTGACTTTAGTGGCTCTTTAAACTTAGTTTGATTTAGTTCTTCAATCATGAATAATGGGGGTAATTTAGTTTGCTTTTGTCACTAGTGAATTGGGAAATTTTGTTTTTGAGCTAAGGCGCGTGCATGACTGACTTTTATTTGAAGAGTTTCTTGCCTATTGCTATGAAACCAAGAAAGGAATTAGCAGAGCTTGATAAACAGCCCAACTGTCTAAATGTTTATCGCTGGAACGTCTTCCTAATTGAATGTTTAAAATGCACGCTCTGTGGTCTAAGAGACTTTAGTTTTATTACGATCTGGCTTTGTTTACAACTTGTTGCAGATTTTTAGTTTACACTTGGCGCGTTTTTTGGTAAACTTCGACTAAATGCCACATATAAACCGGGATTTTTTCTAGTAACTTACTGCCAGAAAACAACTTCACAAAAGCCTTGAATTGAGACTGGTATTTTAAACCTTTCGATAGTTTCTTTTTGTCAAATAGAATACACAATCTGTCCTATGACAAACGAGCCTTTATGAGTGGCCGGCTGCTAATTAAATCTTTCTTATTTCGAAAACAGAAACGCTTTAAACAATGGGTTTCAAGCTTCATCTTTGATTCGCTATTAAATAAAAGTCTGTCATACTGCTAATAATTACTCAAGAAGTATCGAAATAACTTGTTTGTCAAATCTAGAGGCAAATTAACCCCCTTTCCAAGCACAAGAGACGTTTTAAGTTGTGCGCGATTTGTTTATTATTGAAATTTTACCAACTCCATTAATTGTGATTGCGCGAGGTAGTTTAACTAATTTTATTGCAACGTTTTCTTTTTTGCAGTAGAAAATCAAGTAATGCGACTGCCTAGACCCCCAAGCGAGGAGTTTATCCCTCAAAGATTTGACTGCGTGGCCAGCGCCAAAAAACCACGCAAACCACGACGATCGAGCAGGCAGGATTCACCTCCAATTGAAGGCGACGACTCTGAGGATAACGAAACTAGCCGGGCTACACACAACGTCTTGGAAAGGCAGCGGCGAGAAGATCTTAAATGCCGGTTCCAGTTTCTTAGAGACAGTATTCCTGAATTGGAAGATAACGACCGCGCATCTAAGGTTTTAATACTGAAAAAAGCGCGGGAATATGTCCACCAACTGTTTTTAGAAGAGGAACGACTCCTAGCTGACAAAGAACTTGAGCGTCAGAGACGTTTGATCCTCCTCGAGCGCCTAAATTGTTTAAGACAGGGCTATATGTAGAATAACAGTTTTGCCAAAATTTTGCTAGTTCTTTTTTAATGTATAATTTAAAGTGAACAATTCATTCTCAAGGAAATCGTTATATCGCATTCATGCAGGTATAAAATTGGCTGTAATTAGAAGGCACCAGAAGTTGATGCCTAGATTAATTCGCAGTTTATTGGTTTCGAATATTTTTGATCGATAGATACTATACATGCGTGGCTGTGCTGGAAGCCAGTTGTAAAATAAATTTAAAAAACAGATTCCTATTATTATTTTTGGCAACTGTCAAAGTTAAAAATGAAGATTTCGTGATGTCCAGATATCTTTCTACGCTCTAAGTCTTTTATAAAATTCCATCAAGATGGACGAAAAGATTTTTTATTACCATTCCAATTTCAGTCTATATTCGCACAAGAAGAATGTTCTACCATGCAATTTAAACAATCAAGTGTCTTTTATTTTTTCTTCCAAAATCATTATTGAAGATACAAATCACCTTGATTATCGTTCATGTTGATTTTTATTAAGTGTATGGTTGAATAATTCGTTTCTAACGAACAAAAACGCCAATTTTTTTTCTTGCGAAATGTTTTTCTTTACACCAAACATACGCCCTTCGCGTTACTATTTTAAGACAATCGCGACTCTTTTTCTACCGTGCTTTACTTGTGGCCATTTTCATAAAATGATATGTATGTGTTTTGTGTCGAGAAGTTCTAAGAGAAGTTCTACTAATCTCACTAATTCTTGTACATAAATGAAAGCAAACTCTATTTGTAAACATCATCTAATCCGTGGATATATATTTTGCTCTCCGGGGTTTGTGTATGTCCTATAGCGTATTCTAAGTCTGAGTTGTTGAGGAATAGTCCTCTACACCTCCGCGTAAACTTCCATGTGTAATACTTTTGTACTGAAACATTAGTGCCTAGAAAATAAAGAGGCCAAAAAAATGCATTAACCTTTGCGTGTATTTGATCTCACAAAATAGTAAGGGCTTTCACTGCATGTTCATGCTCACCTACTGAAAGCAGTTCATGATGAGTGACAGTTTTATTAAACCGCTGCAACTGCGATATACACTATGGCTGTTAACTGAACCAAATTAAATTTTATCCTTGTGGCAACGCAACTAAAGGCATTATCAAAGTGGCGGAAAAGTTGTAAAGTTTTTCTTGTTCAATTCCATGTAGAATCGATTTGGCACTGAAATCCATTAGGCAATTCAAAAGTCGACAGATAGATCGCAGATAGGCGCAACTTTTAAATTAGGGTTGCAGTAGTACGGTTACTTTATAACTGAATACGCGCGGGTTATCAAAAAGTGAAAAGGGACTTGTTCAACTTCTTTATCTTGTGCAGGGAAATTAGTTTTGACCGACAATTGTATAATCCGGATGGTTTTAACATAAATGAATGAATTTTAGATTTAAACTTATTCTTACGTTAAGCAGGAGCGCAACCATTTTTAAATCGTGAAATATTCATTTGACGGAGTAGGCTGGCGGAACAGTTTAGAAATGCCAGATGTCCGTTTAAACATTTTCCGAGTTTCTGTGGTTGTAAATCGATTTTAAATGTCAGAGTTCTTTCAAGCCTCGTTTTTATTCTCGCTGTTGCCAACGCCCTTGAATTTGCGCCTTTTGCGATGAAGCCACGCACTTCTTTTTCTTTTTTGGCTACATTCCATAGGCTTCAAAACTGCATTGCAGCTCAGCGTTATTTTTATACTGCTTGCGTAAACTTGTGATATATGCAATAGTAGGTAAAGAAGGGAAACTTGCGCAAGTAGTTAAGTGGACCTCATTGATAGGCGCCGCGATGAAACGGTTGGAAAGTCAGCTAATAACACAGCGGCGTTCATTACTTTGTTTATTTTGTATTCTTTTTCGAAAATGCCTCGCAACGAAATTTGGTGTTTAGAAGTTATTTGCGTGATTTTATTTTTTTAGGGCTCGTTCAGTCTAGATGAAAGGTCTTGCCTGAAGGTGTACTAATATTTCCATGATAATGCATGGTATTACTCAACCACTGAGGTCTCTTAAACCCTAAGACCGCGCCCCGGTTTTATAGCTTAAATTTGATCGTCGCTAATCCTGTGTACTAGCACACACACTAGCGTCTCTTCTACATCGCTAATGGGGTAGTCAATTGCCCTCAAGCTTTTTTCTTTGCCATTTACGCTTGCGCAACCAAAACAAAGTCAAAAATCAGCTGAAACAAACGAACTGAATTAGAGGCTCAGCAGGGAAGAGTAAAGTATCTCTGTTCGAGTGGTATATTCTTAAACCACAAACTCATAAAATCCATTCTTTTGCTAACAACTCTAAACCTTAGAGTACCTAAGAAAAAAACTGAAAAACAAATATCAAAATTTTCATTTTTCTTTTAATTATCAAATAAACAATACTATGATAAAGTTATATCCAGTACATTTCATAACCATTCCATTAACCATTTCATTAACCATTTCATACGAAGCTTGTCTCATGCGCTCTTCAATAAAGTAAGAAATCCTTTGAACGCGACAGGCGTTGCTATTAGTTTCGGATCAAACATTTAATATTTATATATATATATATATATAAATTTTTTTTATAAAAATACATCAGGCTGGCAGACCAATTGGAAACCTTTTGTGTGTACAAGTACATGAACCAAAAATATTCACTTTGTCTCCAGGAACCTTATGTAGCCTCAAGATTTCCCTAGAGCGGTTTTAACCCGCTTGACGCCGAGGAGTATACGCTGAAAGTATATTTGCGCGTTTCCAGGCATCATAAAGAAAAATAAAATCTATATTGTGTTCATCTAAACCGTTTGATTGACTTTGTGATACGGTATTCTTTGGTTGACAATTGTCTTTATTCGAACACGTGTTCTTTTTCTTAATTATGACTACAAGTTGAGTAATTGCGCGGTGAGACAGTAGGGGTTTCGAGTCTAAAGCAAATGATATTTTGGCAAATACTTGTAAGCAATTAGTTTACGGTGATATTGTAGGGAGCGTTTTGCGGTTAGCATCCCAGACGACACATACGATGTAAGAATGCTTGATTTAATGGACTTACAAGCGTTGTGAATATCAAATTTATATCAAGACATTGCAATTAAGTCGAACGATGTCAATATCAATTAGTGAAGTGCTTTGCGTGTTATGATATTTTCTCTTGGCTTTCGTGCTCTCGTGATTTTTAATGTATAGTCGATTTCATCACGAGAAATGACGTGAGCTTGGCGTATAAGTGATTAATAACCGAACCTGATAACAAGACTCGGGAATTTCGATTCGAAAGTGTGTGACCAGTAGCAACGGCTTCCATTTAGTTGGCACGCAAGATGTTGCGCCTTTGTTAAACAAATCTTTTACTTTTGCTTTTGTAGTTCAAGTGTAATTACCTGTCAAGGAAAAATGCTTTCAGTTACCGACGTTGCTTTTGCTTTGCCAAGCAATCAGACCAAACTGAAAAGGAACTAAAGACTCAAAACAAAACCAAAAGAAGCAGAGCAAAACAGCAATAACCACAAAAAAGGGTGTAGCAGAGTTAACCCCACACTCAAATTTGCCCTTGCTTTCTACAATGCCACGGGCTATACTAAAATACACATAGATTGGTCATCGCGGTTTCTTCTTACGGTAGTCAGTTAAAATTATTTTGGGACACGCTTTTAAGCCACTGTGCTTTTTGTTCTTGGTGTGATAAGATGAATTCAGTTTGTGGTGTTATTAAACAGACGTTTTCTCGTTGCCTCTCTATTATAGGGTGAAGCGGCGGGAAAGTTGATTTGTTTTATAAAAGTTTTATAAAACCAATCTGCATGCCTTTGTTCCTAAATTTGCTTGTAATGTATTTGTGTGTTTCTTTACAATCCGATTTCGTTCAATTACTGGTAGCATTTTGACAAACTTGAACCATTCTTATTCGCCTCAAAAGGAGCGAAAGCAAAAAAACAAAACAAAACAAACAGATTGCGACCCACTCTGACTCAAGATATTAGGCATCTTTCATGTTTTTCGGCTCACATCATTAAATTTTTAATTAATAAATCCGGCTTCAGACCTTTCACTGCAAAAAGTCTCGATGATGGCTGTGATAAGAATCAATAGGCGTGGCCAGATACAAAACCGGTGTAGCAAATTGAATAGTCGGATGTTCAGTCACCGTGCTTATGTCAAACCTGATTCCATCCAGAACTTCCTGTTGATCTTAAGATATGATGTTGTGGCAGAAAAAAACACTGTGAAAATGCTTTTAACCTTTTATGCATCGCTTTTTTTTTTTTCGTCTATTATTTGCAAAAAAAGGGAAGGGTATGCAGTGAACTCTCTCTAAAGGTTATATGAAACGGGACGATTCGCAACGACAAATTTTAGCGCAACACAGCGTTGCAATGTTGGAACAATGTTGCAAGCATTCAACACAATGTCGCAACAATGTTGCAAGGCTGTGTTGTGCTAAAAATCGTCGTTGCAAATCGTCTCGTAACATCGCCTTAAGACGGACAACTTCGGGACCAGCCGGCCGCATTATGTGTCCGTCTTGTAGAGAGTCAACTAAGAGGAGTAAAGAAAGGGGCAGGGACCAACTGCCGCCAGTTGGCGAGGTGACTGTCTTATATATATAGGCATCCGTTAAAAGAGAGTAGATTGTAGTACAGAAATCCGTCAGACCGTTACTTACTTTTCAATATTTTTTACAAACAATTACCTGCCGCATATTACCGGGGGTTTAATAAGAATGATATTTTTCTATTCCATGCGCAATACTGAAATAATAACGCTTAATATTTATGTATATACGGCTCCGCATTATAAACAAAGATGCGTACCGACCGTAATCTACCCCACTAGAAACAGTGCAGACCCTCAGACCTTTTTTGCGCGCTTTCCGTGATGATTTCAGTTGGCATTCGCGTGACCTTTGGACTAACATCTATTTTGCGGTAATTTGATTGACGGTCTGATAGTGAAAAGAAATGTAAATCTAGTATTAAAGTTAATGTATTTAGATAAATACCCGGCTCTTTTAGCGATTCACAAATAGCACCAGGTTAAGCTAATAACCTTTAATAAATGTTCTGTGCGCTGAGCGTTCTCAGTTATATAACATGATTGTTATCATCTTTACCAGTAAGAGTGGAATAACAGTTTTTCATGCTTATAGACGTAGAGAGTCTTTAATTGTCGCCAAGAATATGTATGCTTTGCGTTAACAATCTCTTTTTGAGTATGATAAAGAAATGCTGAACACCTACGAAGCGGCTTTATAAAACTACTGAATGCTGTTTTTTCTGTCCCGCTCTTTTGTCAAACATGTGTTGTGGTTGACAGAATTGCCCCCTACTTCTGTTTGATCAGTCGGAATAGTTTTATTTGAATGACGAACCATGAATGACGTCACTTGGTGCAAGCCTCATGCAGTCTGGATTACACTATACCACGTCTTAACTTCGGAATTCGGCCTTGCTCATGCACCCTGTATTCTCGACGTAAGCTTTTCAGTTAAGTATTGTACGATACCTCGCTACATATCCAAACGCTGTTGCTTGATAACGACGTTTTCAGCGCAAAATCTGATTCCCGCAAAATTTCGGAAACCTTTGAAGCTGATTCAGACGCCGCCGAGTGTTGTTTGCTTTTAAGGCAATTCTAGAACTGACTTGTCATTAAGAAGAGAACTAATCAGATAATTGTTAACATGCGCTGGAGTATAGGCTTTCCACTCAGTACACAATTTTTGCACTGAGAATCATTTTGTCCCGGGCCTTTTGTCCAAATGCGATTTCTTTTTCCCTAAAACGCAGAAAACTTAATAATAATATGTGAAGGGACCGCTAGAAAATTTGACTGCTAAAAAATGGTCACACTCGAGAATTTTGCGTTCTCTTCGTGACGTACGTGAGTCACTGAGTGAAAAGAGCAACGGTAACTTATAAATTAACA